TATGCGTTTATATTGTTTTTATTTTTGTAAGAAATAAATGTTTGATTTATTTTTATTAAAAAAAAATTATTAAATTTAATGCCTAACCATTTTTTATCCGTCTTCCCCTAACCCCATTATTTACATGTTAAGATAGCCTCGCTTAGCGCTGTTTCGCATTACGCTCTACTTCGATGGAACGTATCCACCGCGTTAAGCGGGGTCTTACTGTACATTCAATCCATTGGGAACCCATACGCAAGCAGAAATTGTGTCAGAAGTGGGACTGAATACCGGTGATAAGAGCAATGGATTAGCAACTAAGACAGCTCGTAACGGCCTTTGCTGCGTTCCAAGAAAAAATTGAAGGGGCCGTCAACTGCACTAAAACGGGGCGACAAAAGCTGGAAATGGCCGTCAAATCAGCTCAAGAAAGATTGAAGCAAGTCAAAAGAAAATGAAAAGAGAAATTAATTCCATTACAGAAAACAGATTTGAAGCTATGGGTGGCAGAATAGACACGGTTGAAAACAGATCTGGTCAAACTGAAGAAAGAATTTCTGCTGCAGAACGATAAATTAAAGATAACGTTTCTGATGTCGATTAACAAACTCAAGAAAGAGTTACTGCTGTCGGACAAGAAATCGATTACAGAGTTTCGTCACCAAAGAAGTTGACAGCTTAGAGAAATTCATAGTGAAAGCAAGAAGCAATTATGACGGTTTTACATTTTTACTCGTGCCTTCTTGACACTCCCTAAAGCTATCCACTTATGATGGAAAGGCATCGTGGCAAGTATATAAAACTGAGTATATGACGCAAATGGATTAGATTCCCAAGCTAAGGCCTGCGAGCCGCGCCTGGGGCATCATACACCCCCTTGCTACGCCACTGAACCCTATATTTAATATTCTAATACCAGGGGTATAATTTGTGACTTTCTTTTTGATACATGATTCTGAAAGTTCAGTTATTTAATAACTTTATGGAATCACAATATTATTCCTAAGAAAAACGATTTGTTCACATTGATATGTAGAACCAAAAGCAGAACGCAAAGCACATGCAATTTTCGTCAATTAAATCTCTCTGGCAATGACAGCCAGCAATTTAAAATAGCTGTCGATTTATTGTTAGAGTTATCTTCCAGATTTTTTTCGTAATTCCGTAAATTTTGCTTTCTATAATTCTAAAGATGTTAGTTCAAAAAGTTCCATTTCAAAATTATCAACTTCCATCTACTCAAAATTTGACAAATTGAATGGGATTATTAATGGGGCTATTAAATCTGTTTTGATTAGGAAAATATAGGCATACAAGCCTCAAAATCTTTGCATCTTTTGGAAAATACCTCCTTGTGTGCTTCACTATAGGTTTGAAGTTCATCTTTTCTATGGTCGATGTATTTTTGTAAGCTGTTTACAGTGGCATAGCTAGGGTGGGGCAAGGGGGGACATGTGTCCCCGGGCGCAGCATCCAAAACGCCAAATTGATGCTACGAAATTTTTTAATGAAATGTTTTTCCATTCTTGGCACACAGAAAGGGGCGCAAATTCTTCAGTTGTCCCCGGGCGCTGGAAACTCTGGCTATGCCCCTGGCTGTTTAACATTTGGGAAGCATTTGTAAATACTAGTATTAATATCACGAAAAAATACACTTAATTATGTAGGAAAGCCTTTCCAATCCTAAGTTTAGTTAGTTCACTGAGATGTTTAGTTATATCAGTCAGAAAAATCAAATAACATACCCATTTTTTAACCATTCAAATTTGGGGAAATGTTCCTTCTCATTTAGAAAAACTTTAATGTGTTCCATGTATGACACAAACTTATTCAAGACTAAGCCAATGGACACGGCTGTTAAAGGGAAATCCACATATTCACTTTCCATTTCTTCTAAACGGGATTTAAATTGCTTGTGTACCAATGAAGAACGAGACATTATGAAATTAGATATTTTAAGAACAATGTTCATTACAGAAATTAAGCGCTGTGAGGAAATTTTTGCAACCAAACTTTCCCGATATATTATGCAACAGAAGTTCAATATTTTATGTCCAATATGATTTTCAAGAAAGTTTGACAAATCATCTTTCCATGCCAACCATTTCAGGAAAGCCATCAGTAGTTACACAAAATATTTTTTTAATGAAATCTTTTACTTTAAAAATAATTTATAAATGAAGAAAGAATATCCTGTCCCTTAGTTGTCCCAGAGAGGAATCAAGCTACATAATCCTTCATAAACTCGATATTTATCATATCACAATTACTGCAAGGTTCAGATCACCATTCACATTGGTACTTTCATCAAAAGGAATATTAGCTAAATGCAGCAGTTTCTTGTAATCTTCAGTATTGCAAGAAACAGCTGCATTTAGGATCCTTAAAACCTGAGGATTACAAGAAATTCTGTTTTGTTGTTACACTTTCTGCCATTTGAACTATTGGTTAATTCAGTTTCTGCCATTTAAGTTATTCACACAGAAGCCGGTATTTCTTGAATTCGGGATAATATTTTTTTGTGGATCTGGGAAATCAATGATCAATATTTCAAAATGTGTCCTTTGTATATTCAACATCTGTGAAAGATTTACCTTTGGCAGTTACAGAATGAGCAATTACGAAACTACATTCGGTCGCTTTAGGTTTGGTTCCAATTTTTTACAAAAAAATGTAACATGTTTCTCACATCCAGTAACAGCTCTTAACTGTATAATTTCATACTTCTCATCGGAATTCTGAAATGTGGACTGATGTTTAGTTTGAAAATGTCTTTGTACACTTGATGTGAGACATACTATGCTTTTGCGACATAACACATATACAGCATAATCCTTTTGTTGTACAAATTCACATTCATTTGCCCAAGAATCTTCAAAAACCGCAAACATCAAGCTTTTCTTGATGTTTGTGGCCATTTGATTAAATATGTAGGTATACACTGTTACAATAATTAAACGCATGAGACACATGCGTGAAGCGTGAGGTGGGGAGGTATAGAGAGGAGAGACGGGGCAAATTATCTTTATTTTATAACTTTTGCAGAGTCCAGTAGAGTGCCACGAAAATTGTATCAGGTGCCATGGGTTGCCGACCCCTCTTCTACACAGTTTGCTGTGTTTCAAAATTCTACCAGCATCTCTCAGTTCTTTTATTAAGCTTCATTGGGTGTCAGTCCTTCCTGGGTTTTATAACTATATTGAAGTTTCTTAATTTTAAACTGCAAAAATGCGCTGACAATTTTATCAGTGTCAACATCAATATCATTATCAAAACTAAATGAAGTAAAACTGAAAATGTATTAAAAAATATCTCACCTATATTGGAAAAAGATACATTTGCTAGAGCAAAAACATTTGCAACTCTACGTTTAAAATCACTTCATGGTTGATTGGAAATTTATGTCACATACAATCACATATTACAATCAATAATTGAAGATTTATTTTTCATACCTATTTCTTCAACAAGTGCAGCAGTTTTTATCCTTGCACTTGAATATTTCTTAGCGATTTCGCTATTGAGAACATTTTTCTAAATAAAGCTGCAACGTGATCCAATGCATTCTGTGGCAGGTTGTGCTTCAGTAAAAAGACAAAGAACAGGCATTCTGCATTAATAACTTTTTGATCCTTTGTTTCCGCATAAAAATGTTTCTTTTTTTTCAATTCTATGTTGTAATTGTGTATGTGTATGTTTAAGAACATGGGCCCTTCCACCATGCAAAATCGAAAATTACATTGACAAACAGTACACATAGCTACAGTATTACATTATATTGACAAAATAATAGAAGGTAAGTCATCTGTCTACAATTTTTTAAACATGCATGAGTTGTTTACTTTTTTTGAAGACATAACCAAGACAAAAGGTAGCAATTTCTTAAAACACGTGAAACTCGCAGCACTCATTGGCAAGACAAACAAAGTAACAGCTTGGATCTTGCTCTGTGCTCATTGACTAATATATGGCAGTTCAGAAGTCAAGTAACAAAAATCAGCGTTATATTTACAAAATTTTCACAGGACTGGTTTCGATGGTTTTACAGAACCACCATCCTCAGCTGCAAAACCGCAAATTGTTTTGCAGCTGAGGATGGTGGTTCGGTAAAACCATCGAAACCAGTCCTGTGAAAATTTTGTAAATATAACGCTGATTTTTGTTGTTTGACTTCTGAATTACTCTTTATTCAGCGTGTTATTGTGTCTTAATTAATATATGGCAGATTAACCGAAGTGGTACTTGATGCTCACTGAAGAGCTGGAACACAATATTCCAGCTCGGGACACATGCGCTCTCACACACAAAGCAGAAGAGCCCCATAATGTCTCGTTGATGAAACGACTTTGGTTTTCTTTCATATGTAATATGTTCCAGGTCAAACACATATGCTCTCACACACAAAGCAGAAGCGCCCCATAATGTCTCCTTGATGAAACGACTTTCGTTTTCTTTCATATGTAATCTAGAGTAAAACCAAGCACTTTCAGATGCCTAAAATCACTTTTTGGGTGCATATAACGAAGTATTAAGTGAAGCTATATAAAAATCATGAGAAATGTTAATAATAAAAAAAAGTCATGAGAAATATGTTGTAAATCAGTTTAGCGGGAGTTTGGTCAGAAATTGGGTTTCCAGCCTAAATCAAGAGAGTTGGCAACTCTGATTACAATTAACCTCATTTATTTAGTAAATATTCACAATATTTTATGGTTCATTCAGCTCTTCCTGAATATGTAACTTTAGCCAAAAAAGGGATTGAAAAATCATACTGAGCATAATTTTTTTTAGTCACTAAGAAACTCATGATTTTTTCTATAGTATAAGAAGGCAATTTCATTAAGTAGAGACAGTGCTTCTTGGAAAAGGAGTATAAATTCTTAAAAAATTCTACTCTTGAGAAGTTATGATACAAATTTAAAGTTTGCCTAATTTGCCTATTGTTCACTAGAATTATACATTATCATCAGAGTTATTATTTTCACAGTGTTTTTCGTTAGGAAAGGAATAGTCAAAAGGAAAATAAGAGACAATTTTTAATTCAAATAACCTTGCAGGAAGGAGACTATCTGCTGTGTGACCGATAACATTAATCCCACAGTCATTTGGGCTGGGAGATGAACACACATTAGCTTTTAGATACAGTGCAGTTTTCAGCATGAATTGCAGGTCCTAATAACAAAGGCCTTACTAGTGGAACTGTGCCACCTTAAGCTTTGGTAATGTTTTCAGGTCATGCTTCCTGTTTACTGATTAGAACTTAATTAAAAAAGGTGCTTGCATCAACTGAAAAGTGAATGTAACATCCTATTTAATTATTGAAATCCTATTTAATTATTGAGGGTTGAAAATGGGACTTCCTTAATGGAAGGGATACTCTGTTTTCACTGCATGCAACATCTTGGAAGTGGAGAAATCATTCATCCTTTACAGTAATGCACAAAATAAATTAGTCATTTTCTCTCAGGAACTTCTAAATATCCTTGATGCACAAGCACACATTCAGCAAATGCTCAATCGTTAGAAAAAATGGATAGATACTCATGCAAAGTGGTGTAATCATGAACCTATCATGAAAAATTTTATTCGGATGTCAATACCACTTATACCTGACTTAAATGCAAACTGTTCTATACACTTTCTCCACCATCTCAAAATCACACTTCTACTCAGTAACCCAGTTCTTAAACAGCATATATTTACCATACACATCTGACAAATAGTTTTCCACTGAGAGCTAGTTTCCACTAAGTTACATTCAATAATATTTTAAGTTATTAAAAAAAAAAACCCTCTACTCCCTAATTTAGACAGGATAACAATTCTGCACATGCAAAAGACTTATGTATGAAAATGCCTGCTTACACATGTTTAAAATAACTAAGAAATTGGCAGTCTGTGTAAATATAATTTTGAATGCTGAGATAAACAATGCTCTTTTAGGGAAAATTATAAATATGTATTAAAATGTACCATATTAATACTTTTAGAATTTATTGTAGTAAAAATCTTTAATTTAGAATAAAATGTTAATGTCAGCATTTATCGTATAACCGAATTATTCTCATATTAATAGTTCAAAAGTTTAATGAGAGTGTTTTTCTCCCTTAACCCAACTTACAAAGTAACCAAGAAATTAAATATATATGAACATTTTACTGCAATATAAAATATTTACAGATATGTATTTGTGCAGTCATATATATAACTTTCAAAATGTGTTAAAATACATTAAAACGAATTTTTACAATTAAATACTATATGAACACTACAAAATTAGCAAAAGTTCATTTAAAAACTCAAGAATTAAAGAAAAACTGTATTAAAAATACTGAAAAAACTAAAATTGATTAACTTTGGTAAATAGTAGGAACATGTAATAAAAAACACTAGCAAGCTAGTCTGCCAAAATATCCTAATTAATACTGAAATTCCTACAAAAAACCATTTGTTTACAAGTATAAAAATATCAATATTCACTATAAAGATTATGTTAGGTATAAAATTATATTGTATATATACAATACCCTATTCCTTTTTCTTTGTACAAAACTCATAAAAAAGTTTATTTTGTTAGAAAAAGTTGGCTTTCATTTCATGAAAATTGACTTAGATTTAGACTTCAAGTTTGAAGCTTTAGTTTAGGTTAATCATTGGTCACCGATCCACAAAATTTTCTTCAAATACTGGATGGGGGCGTAGAGCACATATTGCCTTGTGTAAAGGCCAGTCTTTTGTCTGGCATACAGACCCACAATAACGAGTTACATGACATAAACCACAAATACTAAACTCCTGTGGCCTCTTCTCCATTCTTATGCATGGTGGGTAGTGGCACTCAAAGAAACGATCTTCTGAAAGAAGGAAAAGTAATAATTTTTTAATTAAAAATATATTAATTGAAATATTAAAATCATTTAAAATATTTATCAGATGTCCAAAAAATTCTATTTCAGAATATAAAACATACACAGAAACTTTATCTAGTATCAATAGTTAAAAGTGAAGATTAGGATTTGCTACTTTATATCATTATATATTTCAGTAAATGCAAATTTCCTTTTCAGCTATGCAAACCCACATCCTATTCTTTCAAACATGTTTATCGAAAATTCTCAATGCCATTAAGGTGGTAGTTAAAAATTCAAGAATATTTATTAATGCACCTATACAGTTAATAAACCAGTTCATATTTATGTGTTATAGCAACCACCTTTAATCACCAAAATCTCTAAGGGGAACAGTCGAGGAGATGTATTTGATAGGTAGCCCGTGCTGCCGAGGTTACAGCGCTGTCAAGTCTCAGCAATTCTCTGATGCTTTTTAAAGTGGATGTTCTGTTTTGATTTGGAGATGAACAGGATTATTGCTGTTATTGGGACTGGATTCAGATATCGCCAAAAGCTGATGACCTGATGAAAAATTCAAAGGAAAAAATAGCATAACATATATTCATAAAATTAGAAATTTGTAATGTAAATTAAACAACTTGGCAAAGAAAACGGGAGAGAAGAAATTTGATTAGTGAATTGAAATTAATTCTGAGGGTAAAACTGTGGATATCATTTAACCCCTTGCACTTGAGAGATACTTCGCAATATCACTCGCAATCTGATTTGATGCCGCAACTCGAGAGGTAACTCTCGCTCCCCACTTGTTTTGATGCAGAAACTTGATATGCGGCAATAACTGTTTATGTTTAATTTCTTTGAAGTGGGTTCCTACACTCTCTGTAGAATCCTATCAATTTTAAAATGATACCCCTTTAAATGGAGATAAGAAGATTTTCTTATATGGAATCTTATCTTTTCTTATCTAACACAATGTCTGTTCTCAGAGAAATGAACCTGGAAAAAGGTATCAAACAACATATAGTTATACTTGCCCTGACAAGCCGGGCATGCATCTTGGAAATTGTTATATGAAATATCATACACAGAAAAATTATAGAGACTAATATTTAAGAAATTATGTCTATAAAGGTGTAAAGATATATAAAATGTTAAAATATAAAAATTTTGTACATTACTTTGTGTGTGTAATGATTTTAAGTTACTGGTAAGAAATGTGTCAAACACTGCTACCGTGACATAATTAAATAGGAATCTTATTGATTAGTGTTAGTGCCACACTGAAGTTTATTTTGCCCTTTTCGCACTGCTCCATAACCTTTCAAAAGTTTGCATACGACAAGCAGTATTGGAATCAATAAAATTATATTTATTGTTATTGCAGAAATGTTTAAAATACTTTTATTCTGCAGTGCTACATACATTCCAACAGTCTAAGTATATTATAGTGCCATCAATAATATTTTCTTGAGTAACTTCAAGCAAAGTTCTTCCAGAGTGGTTAGACATAGCAACTAAAAAACATCATTTTGTTTTATGGCAAATCCCAGCGAACACCCATTGGAGTGGAAGGATATGACCAACGTTTTCTCGAAGCAAACTTTGACAATATTACCAGTGCCTATTTTAACTGATGGTCTAGACATTAATGCATGGTTACAATGGTTCTCATCTTCATTTTGGTGCTTCTTTCAAATTGAAGCAGAGCTTTATTTTATGGTTTTTCATGTACTTTCTTACAGAGAGAATTATTCCTCATTCCTGAAGAAACTATAACTGTATATGAAAGATGTTTCATCATTAGGTAAGTCCCAATTTTTTGTATTCATGATAAACACCATAATAATAAAAACACAAAAGACTGCTACATCTTTAGAATTTGTATTCTTGTTGCCAATTTTGAAATGCATTTTTCACTTTTTTAAAAAGTAAACCTTGTAATGATTTCAAGTAAACATTGACGAATTCATATGAACCAATCTCTTGAAGAGTTTAACAAAACATTTGGTGAAGATTCTGGTCTCAACAGAACAGTACCGATGAATGTGCGTTTCATTTTTTTAATACATCATGTAATCAAAATCGTAAAAAACAACCTTATATTTAGCGTAGGTATAATGAAACACTCAATCGATTTCGAGGGCAGCTAAAGGTCCCTCCTCATCAGGAGAAAGAAATACCTAGAAAGAAGAAAATAGGAGAAGGAGTCACAGAAACACGTAGTGCTTATCAGCACTGCACGTGGTTATAACTAGATTTTTAATCAGAGTTGCACTGGCCGCCTACTTTTACTGAGCCAGGCTGTCTGATCAAGCATAAAAAATATTAGCGAAGTTAAAATAGGGAGCGAGGGGCAAATGCACATTACGCTCAAAATCTGAACTTCAAATAATGGAAAGCAACCACTGAACGGATTTTTATACCGTCTGGTAGTACCAAGCGCGAGGAGGTAACGCCAATCTATCGGCAAAATAATTGAATTAAGATAGTAGAATTTTAAAGGCATTAGGAAGGACTGGATTGGACTTCAAATCATTAACTAACTTTCTAAATCTTTGTGAATGTGAAAAGCCTCAAGAAATTGCAATTCGCCTATGGAAGAAGCCTTTTGGATGATTTTTGCAGACCCAAAATCAAAATTATGGTTAAAAGTCCAGCTATGATACGCTATTGAAGACTTGTTAATTTCGCGTTTTTTGACATAAGATTCATGTTCCTTGATACGAAACTTCAACGCTCTTTTTGTTTGGCCAATATATCTTAAACCACACTGACATGATATACTATAAATTCCCCAAGAATTCAAGACAGAAATGCAATCTTTTAGAATCGAAGGGTGAATTTTATTAATAGGGGAGAAACCAACTTGAAAATTGAATTTCTGGAGAATCCGTGCAATTTTATAGCTAACAGAAGGATAAAATGGAAGCACGACAAGGTCATTAATATTATTTCTAACAGTGGAATGTCTTCTTTGATGGGAATCTGAAAATTTTTTGACGGCTTTATCAATAATCACGGGAGAAAATCCACGGTCAATCGCAACTGCTCTCAAATAATTAAGTTCATTGGTAAGCAAAGATTCAGAGGAACAAACTTTTAGCGCGCGGAAAACATAATAGTAAAAAGAAGCCATTTTTTGCTTAACAAGGTGGCATGACTTGGCATGGGGTGGTAAACAAACTGCAAAGGGTTTACGGTACACAGTGGTGCTAAAATCGGTTTCACTGCGGATTATGAGAATATCGAGGAAGGGGAGGGAATTGTTGGATTCAATTTCAAGAGTGAATTGGATGGCTGGATCAACTGAATTCATAATAGATAGAAATCGAATCTCGGATAAATCCTCTTTATAACCGTCAAAAAAAAAGTGCGAAAGTGTCGTCAACATACCGAATCCAAAGACGAAAAGATAATTTATCAAATAATTTCATTCATCTCAAAATAGTGCATATAAATGTCAGCAAGTACCGGACTGAGAGGATTACCCATAGCCAATCTTTTCAACTTGACGAAAATATGCATTTTGGAAAACAAAGTGGGTTTGACTTAGAGAAACTTTAGTAAGCGAAACCAACTCATTAATTTCAGTACGTGTGAAGTGAAATTCCTGAAGCCTAGTTTCAAGACAATTTAGTGCTCCTTCGACCGGAACATTAGTAAACAATGATTTGACATCAAATGAAACCATAATGGAACGAAGTGGGAAATATTTTTTAAGTTTATCAATGACTTCAACAGAATTTTTTACAGTGTGAATATTGTTAGCAAGTAGAGGAGAAAATCTGGAAACTAAATATTTGGCCAAAGGATATGAAGCAGTACCTATGTTGGAAACAATTGGTCGAAAAGGAATACCGGTTTTGTGGACTTTTGGAAGAGCATAAAGTCTAGCGCAATTAGTAATAGGCGGAATAAGTGATTTTCTTCAACTGAGTTGGCAGAATGTGGGAAGATTTAATAGCACTTTTTACTTTCATGAGGTCCGAAGTTGAAGGATCTTTAGGGATCAAGCAGTATGGGCCTTCATTTATCAATTTAGAGACTCCAGTAATATATGTGTGTTTGTCCATAACAACGATCTGTCCGCCCTTATCAGCTTTAGAGATAATGATATTAGTATCAGAATGAATTTCACGTAAGATCTCATTTTCCTTTTTGCTACGATTAGAACCCAAAGATTTATTGTTAAAATTAACGTTATGAGTAATTAGGTGGCGGATTGTATCCTTCTGCGTTTCCGAAATTTTGGAGAATTTAAAGGCTTTCTCTATAGGGGCGATGATTTGAGGAATTGAAGGTTTAGATGTCTTTGAAAAGTTGAAATTATATTTTAATACTTTTAACTGATCCTCCGAAAGATTCCTATTGGAGATATTAACGATGGAGTTAACGTTTACAGTGTGAAGATCAGCTAGATAATTGGGACTATCCGACTGGTGTGTGAGTTTTAGGAATTTAGAAATGAGCACATTTTTATGCCGTTGACAAACGGTATCGGTTCTAGACCAGGATGTATGTTCAAATGAGGAAAAATTTTCAGTGGAATTAGCAATTTTTATATGGAGGTAATATAATTCAAATTCAATTTTAGATAAACGTTTGCGTGTGTCCCTTATAATTTATTTTAACTTCGCTAATATTTCTTTATGCTTGATCAGACAGCCTGGCTCAGTAAAAGTAGGCGGCCAGTGCAACTCTGATTAAAAATCTAGTTATAACCACGTGCAGTGCTGATAAGCACTACATGTTTCTGTGACTCCTTCTCCTATTTTCTTCTTTCTATGTATTTCTTTCTCCTGATGAGGAGGGACCTTTAGCTGCCCTCGAAATCGATTGAGTGTTTCATTATACCTACGCTAAATATAAGGTTGTTTTTTACGATTTGATTGTCACATTAGCGTGTTTCTCTTCTAGTCTACATCATGTAATCTTTATTAAAAAAATTTTTTTTTAATTGCAAAAGTATTTGACTTTTTATGTGTTGATAATGTTTGCCAAGT